AGGACCACCCCAACCATGAGGTGAGGTTCCCCTGGAATATCCAGGAGTGCGGTAACCTGAGTCCCCCTGGGCAGCAGATCTGTGAGGTAGAAGAGGGACAAGGGGCGAGAGGTGCCACGTCCCCCTGGCCTTACTGCACCCCACTCACCTCGCAGATTTTGGCGTAATAACACTGGGCCAGTCCAGACACCAGAACCACCCCACTCCACCCCCCCACCCCACCCCCGGTCCAGTGAGGAGGACACTTTAAGCAACACTCGCACAGTTATGTCACTTCCAACTTTGAAAAATGCTAAGTAGTATCTGCCAGTCTCCCAGTTCTCTGCCTCTCAGCTCCTTACCCCCTCACCCCACCCAGCAGCCTCCTCCTGCCTCCAGTCTCCCATCTGTCTGCTCCTTGTTCTTCTCTTCTCAGATTCCTAAATTATGCAGACTTCTCCCTGACACCTCCCTTCCCCATCTTCCCTGCCGGGGCCTGTGCCGGCCCTCTGGGCACCCAGTGTGTGCCAGGCCAGGCCCTGCCCTCAGCAGGCTTCATGGGGCAGGGAGGGGGCAGGGACACAGGCATCTCACACTTGTCACCTCACACGCGGTGGTTTCTCTTCAGTGCAACATATTTGGCTGCACTCTCTTGGCAGAAAACAACATTGAAAAGAGGCAGAATGTAAATGGCACGTTCTGTCTGTACACGGATTTAAATAGTGCACTTCACACATCTCCGCGCACCTCACCGTACACTTCCATACCCAGCCACCCGTGCACTGCGCTGCATGGGCAGCCGGAGCAGTTGGTCAGGGCAGTTTTCCTCTTGCTTCACACCCTGGCTGTGGCGCTCCGCCTCCCCCTGGCATACGGGCCAGGGTAGTTATGAGCCTACAGGTGGTGCTGCTGCAGTAAGGGTAGGTACCTGCGGCCCCTCAGCACGCTCCCAGGTCCCCTTTGTCCCTAAACTGGTGACCTCCTCCAGCTGCCACTCACTTGTGTTGCAGCCACAGGTTCCAAGATTCAGGATCAGGGAGGGAGAAAGGGGTTGGGGAGGCAGGAGGGCCGAGGCGTCTAGTCTCACGTGCTGCAGCCCACCCCTTCCCCCGCACCCCCTCCAGGTGTGTGCACCCACAGTGCCCAGTGGAGCGTCTCACAGAGCCAGCACCATGCAGGAAGGGGTTGCCCATTCTCTGTAGGGGCCAGGCTGACCCAGGGCTAAATGAATATGCAGAGAGGAAGCACGGGGTGTGGGTCCCAGTTTCGAATTCCAGCACCAGCACTGGGTGGGCGATGACCCCTGCCTGAGCCTCAGCTTCCTCCTCTGTGCAGTAGAGAATGAGGTCCTCGAAGGCCCAGCGGGCAGGGGAGCTCTGTTAGGTTGACCGTGCCAGGAGCCTAGCCCGAGACTTGGCACAGGATAGGCTGGCGGTGACAGACTGTCAGCACCATGGCCGGCAGCAATTCTGTTCATTTGTCCACGTACGTGCTTGCTGTGCCTGGAACAGGGCCTGGGCTTGCGAGGGGCTTGGTAGAGTTCTGTGGATTCTTTGGATCCCGTGGGTTTGTGGAAGAGGTTCTCCCTAAAGTCGCACACACGGCCCATCCTCGCGGAAAGGCACATGTCAGGGCGGGCACACACCCAGAGCTGCTACTCCCATGACCCCTGTGCCCAACAGCAGATGTGCGTGTGGCTGAGGCATGGCCGGGAGGAGGGCTGGCCTCCAACAAGGAAAGGCCTTACCAGCATCTCAGGGTCAAGAGGACCTGTACCCTGCACCCGTGTACCTCCCAGCTGTGGATCATGCGACCTCTCTAAGGGCCTGACCTGTGCCTTGTCTTTCCAGCGAGGAGCCACCCCTGGATCTGACAGGCAAGGTGTACCAGTTGGAAGTGATGCTGAAACAGTTGCACACGGACTTACAGAAGGTAAGGCCTCGTGGGGCCTGACCCTCCCCGTCCACTTCCGGGATGCTCAGCCAGGGACGACCTGGCTGAGGCACCTCTCCCCACCGCCATTCCTTCTATTCCGAATGCAGTCGTGATAAAGGTAAAAAGTGACAGTACCAAAGGCTAGCAAGCACACAGAGCAACTCACACATTCTTGGAGGGAGAATAAACTGGTCCAACTTTCTGGAGGGTGGTTGGGTAGTATTAATCAAAAATGTAATTTTGGGGGCCAGCGGGTGGTGTGATGATTGAGGTGCTAGGCTCCCAAATAGCCGACCGCAGTTCCAGTCCCAAACCTGGCAGCTTGCTTTCTCTCTCTCTCTCTCTCTCTCTCTCTCTCTCTCTCTCTCTCTCTCTCTCTCTCTCTCTCTCTCTCTCTCTCTCTCTCTCTCTCTCTCTCTCTCTCTCTCTCTCTCTCTCTCTCTCTCTCTCTCTCTCTCTCTCTCTCTCTCTCTCTCTCTCTCTCTCTCTCTCTCTCTCTCTCTCTCTCTCTCTCTCTCTCTCTCTCTCTCTCTCTCTCTCTCTCTCTCTCTCTCTCTCTCTCTCTCTCTCTCTCTCTCTCTCTCTCTCTCTCTCTCTCTCTCTCTCTCTCTCTCTCTCTCTCTCTCTCTCTCTCTCTCTCTCTCTCTCTCTCTCTCTCTCTCTCTCTCTCTCTCTCTCTCTCTCTCTCTCTCTCTCTCTCTCTCTCTCTCTCTCTCTCTCTCTCTCTCTCTCTCTCTCTCTCTCTCTCTCTCTCTCTCTCTCTCTCTCTCTCTCTCTCTCTCTCTCTCTCTCTCTCTCTCTCTCTCTCTCTCTCTCTCTCTCTCTCTCTCTCTCTCTCTCTCTCTCTCTCTCTCTCTCTCTCTCTCTCTCTCTCTCTCTCTCTCTCTCTCTCTCTCTCTCTCTCTCTCTCTCTCTCTCTCTCTCTCTCTCTCTCTCTCTCTCTCTCTCTCTCTCTCTCTCTCTCTCTCTCTCTCTCTCTCTCTCTCTCTCTCTCTCTCTCTCTCTCTCTCTCTCTCTCTCTCTCTCTCTCTCTCTCTCTCTCTCTCTCTCTCTCTCTCTCTCTCTCTCTCTCTCTCTCTCTCTCTCTCTCTCTCTCTCTCTCTCTCTCTCTCTCTCTCTCTCTCTCTCTCTCTCTCTCTCTCTCTCTCTCTCTCTCTCTCTCTCTCTCTCTCTCTCCCTCCCTCCCTATCCTTTTCTCTCTGGTGAGCTCACATGCCCTCTAACAAATTTAAAAATAATATAAATAAAATTAAATAAATAATTTTTTTTAATATAATTTTGTGGAGCCGGCAAGTAGCATGATGGTTATGGATCTGGACTCCCACATGGTCGACCATGGTTCAAGTCCCAGACCTGGAAGCTTGCTTTCTCACTCTCCCTCTCCGTCTCTCTCTGGTCAAATTGAAGAATAATAATAAATAAAATAATTATATTTAAAAATGTAATTATGGGGGGCCAGCAGGTGGCATGGTGGTTGGAGGCACTGGACTTCCATATGGCCGACCACAGTTCGTGTCTCTGACCTGGTGGCTTGCTTTCTCACTTTCCCTCTCCCTCTCTCATTCTGTCCCTCTCTAGTCAAATGGGAGGAAGGAAGGAAGGAAGGAAGGAAGGAAGGAAGGAAGGACGGAAGGAAGGACTTTTTAATGTAATTATGGGCCAGTCCTGTGGCACAGTGATTAAGGGAGCCAGATCCTACATGTCTGACTGCAATTCATATGAAAGACATGCCAGGTGCAGTGTATGAACAGGATAGAGAAACAGAAAGGGACTGCACCCATTGGGGTGCTTTGTCCCTCTCCATCTCTCTCTCTCTCTCTCAGGCAAGCACATATGCCCTCTGGCAACTTTAACAAGAAAGAAAGTAGTTATGTACCTTGTTGACCTGGCAATTTCACCTGTGAGAATTTGTCTTTGAGAATTTCCAGTGTAGATGCAAAGAGATCCCCGGGCAAGGGTGCTCAGTGCTGTACATTTGGCAGTAAAATACGGGAGGGAGGCGCCCTCGGCCTGTTAATAAAATAGCAGATCTATATTCAAGGGGATTTCAGACAGGTTGTTAAATGGAATTAAATTATGAGTTTATTTTGGTGCAGGAAATAATTTAAAATCCATGCGGGTTTTTCATAACCTGCATTTTTCGTGAGCCAAAATGATCCCTCATATTTACTAACATAGAAAACAATTCTAATCATTAAACAAAAAAAAGGGGGGGGAGGAAAAGCAAGCTGTGTCACCTTCTAGAATAACTCCAAAAAATTTTTAAGAATTTTTATTTAATTTTTATGTATATATTTATTTTAATTTGACCAGAGAGAGAGAGAGGGAGAAAGTGAGAAAGCAAGCTGCCAGGTCTGGGACTTGAACCACAGTCAGCCATGTGGGAGTCCAGCACCCTTAACCACCACGCCACCAGCCAGCCCCCTGAACTTTTTCAAAAAAATTTTAATAACCATGGCTTAGAGGGATATCTAGGAGGCAACCCTCTGAATTGTACTTTTCTCCAAAGGAGAATAAGGAAAATAAGAGCAGAAGAGACTTGTATATGTACTTTGGAGTAAAAAGCAAAACGGTGGCAAAGCATAATGTGTAAGTAAATCCTCAAGCATAGGAATCTGAGGGGGCACAGGTTCAAGTCTCCACCTCCCTGCTTAATGCTAGGTGACCTTGGATAAGTCACTGCCCTAGGACAGCACATCATCCGGTAAGGATGTCTTGCAAGAGTCAGAGCCTGCTCAGGCAAATTCATGTCCACATCCCGGTTCACCTCTTGCCATGTGAGGTTTCATTTCCTTTTCCAGGAATATGAGCATAACAGTGACCACGTGCTTGAGTGGTTGTGAGGGTGGGGTGAGGTATCAATAACAGTGATGTGAGTCAGCCTGTGGCGTGGAGGTTATGGTGGCCGATCCCACATGACCAACTGCGCAGTTCAAGTCCAGGCCCGGCAGCTTCAGAAACACTTTAGGTACAGGACAGCAGGTGGCATTGTGGTTAATGCGCTGGACACTCCCACATGGCCAACCACAGTTCAAGTCCTGGACCTGGTGGCTTGCGTGTGCGCGCGCGCTCTCTCTCTCTCTCTCTCTCTCTCGTCAAATTAAAATAAATGAACGAATAAATAAAAATTAAATAATTATTTTTAAAAAAAGAAAAAAGGAACACTTTATATGTGTGTGTGGTGTGCAGGTGCTCTAAATCCCAAGAGGAAAATGAAAGAGAAGGGATTGTAGTGTGGCCATCCCCCCCTTGAGGGGTTCTTTCTCACTCGTCCTCTCTCTCTCTCTTTGTGTTCTTCTCTAGCAAGTGCCTATGCCCTATAGCAAATTTTGATTTTAATTTTTTTAAGAATTATTTGACTTATTGTATTTATTTATTTATTTTAATTTGACCAGAGAGACAGACAGGGGGTGGGGGGGTGAGAAAGCAAGCCGCCAGATCCAAGACTTGAACCACGGTTGGCCTTGTGGGAGTCCAGCACCTTTAACCACCTGCCAGTCCCCATTTTGTTTTAATTTTTTAAAATAATAATAGTGATTTTTTTTGAGGAGTACTTCAGGTCAGGCTATGTTCTTTAAAAGGTTTGCGTGTGTAACTTCAGGGAATCCTCGACCCTTTTAGAATTGAGAGAAGGGGGTGGTGTAGAGCGATTAAGCAATTCACCCAAGGGTACTAGCTGCTGAGAAGCAGCCTGACTCTAGCAATCAGCTCTGCCCATGGCTCCCAGCTCACTCCCCCAGCCCCCAGCTTTTGGGAAACACCTAGGCCCACCCTGCCTGATGACGACCCTCCTGCCCCGCACAGGAGAAGCAGGACAAGGTGGTGCTGCAGTCGGAAGTGGCCAGCCTGCGGCAGAACAACCAGCGCCTACAGGAGGAGTCGCAGGCTGCAAGTGAGCAGCTGCGCAAGTTCGCCGAGATCTTCTGCAGAGAGAAGAAGGAACTCTGAGGTGACGAGGCCACTCCACGCCCTGCGCCCGCCGCCCTCCTTCCATGCAGGCCGGCCGTGGGCTCATGCTCTCCTTTCTCCCTGAGCTCGGCTCCTGCAAGCGTGACCAGGATAATTCAGCCAAGGCGCTAGCACCCGCTGCCCCCACGGCCTTCCTCATGGACTTGGAAGCCTTGGGACAGCAGTGGGACCCAAGGGAGCCCTCCCTGGGGCTAGGAGCCGGGGTCTGCTTATGGTCTTCAAGCCCCCCGAGGGTGGCATGGTCCAGGCCCCCCTCGGAGCTACCCATCTGTGTTCCCTGTGAGCTGGGCCAGCCCCATGCTGCCCTGGGGCCTGCCCCGCTGTTCCCATTCGTCCTCTTCCTGGGCCCCAGCCATCAGAAGTGGTAGGAAGAGCAAAGGTGGGAGTCTGTCACCAAACCCCACAGCTCCAGGAGTTCACAAACCAGGATTCTTCACCATGTACCACAGTTTGGGCTCACGGGGCCAAGCCCCCTGCATGAACAATACTGGGCGAAGCCAGCCCTTTCTTCCCCCAAAGCCCAGAGCCATGAGGGCTCCCGCAAATCTGATCAGGACGCCTGGGTCCCCAGAGTGCTAGCACGGAAAAGCACGCACATCTTCCCCTCCCACCTCATCTTTCCAAGAAGCGGCCAGGAGCACTTTCTCCGAATTTAAATTATTTTCTTGGGGACCCCTGGATGGAGAGAGGAAACCCCAGCATCAAGTCACCTTCTTTGAGAAAGAAACTATTTGTACAATCGAGACGGTTTTTACAATCTTTTTCTATCAGCTCCTCTCCTGCCTGAGGCCTCAGTGCCTGGGCTTGGAATCCATAGGCCCATCCAGCTGCTGACCTGGCCAGGCTCGGGTGGCGGAGCCGCCACACAGCTGACTCTCCTCTTCCTCCCCAGCACGACCTAGCTCTGACCGGCCTGTCCTGGGCTCCAGCAGGAGCCTAGGGAGCCCTCAGGACAGGGCTGAGAAACACAGCCTTCATCCCCTCGTCTGCTTTCATTTCCTTTGCGAGTCTCCCAGCCATCTCACAGTCCCCCCCACTCTCCCCGGCAGCAGTGGTGACTGCCAGACACCCTCACTGTGCTCCCGGGGGAGCACATCGCTGTGCAAACCCCACAAGATGCTGGTTCTCTCAAGGCAATAAGGGCAGCTTGCCAGGCAGCCAAGCCGGTGTGGTACTACACCCCAGGAAACAGAGTTTCTTTTTTTCCTTCTTTAAAAACAAACAAACAAAGTATATATATATATATATTTATTTTTTCATGTAGAGTTGCGCCAGAACAAGTCCGTATGGCCACAGTCTGGATTCCCCCAACCTCAAGCTGAGGACCAAGGTTTGCCCCTGTGGGCTAGGGTCAGGAGGACTCAGAGGGACCCCGGTCAGGGCGGGCAGGCAGGCGGCTTCCCTTTCTGACAGGCCCCAAGCAGGCAGAAGTTGGAGGCACAGGCTTGGCTCAGAGCAGCAGGCTCTGGGCAATGAACCAGCTCCAGACGGCCCAGCCCTTGTCCAGAGACCCCGCTGCCCTCTCTTAGGGGCTGGGAACCTCAGGGAAGGGAACTCTGGGGACTGTACCAAATGCAGGCCCCTGGGAGGTGCCAGGCCAGCTGGGTGGGGCAAGAGAAGAGGGTACTCATCCTGTCTCCCTATGACTAGCCTCTGCCCCCCTCCCCAGCAGCCCCACAGTCTTGAGAAGAAAACCCCAGGTCCACGTGTCCTCTCCCGCACCCACCAGGCCAAGGTGGGGGCTGCCGAGGCCCAGCCCACTCCGCGGTGGTCCTCAGCTCTGGCCAACTACTGTGATGTCGCTCCTTCCTGGACCCCCTCTTCAAGGGGCGTTCTCCAGTCCCCCACTTGCTTCCTCAGACCCTAACCTGGAGCCTTTTTTTTTTTTTTTTTCAGTTGTCTCTGCATATCTTCAGATCATTCTAATCATTTCGGGGACCTAATCATGTACATTGACAAGTGTAAATTATGATTTTCGGTTTTTTGTTATTTTTTAAGAATTTCTGCGAAACAAATCTATTTAATTTGAGGTTGGTGTTCTATCTGATGGCTGAAGATAGCAGCAGGTTTTTTTTGTTTTTTTTTTTTCCAGACGTTGATTTGTTTTCATTTGGATTTTTTATTATTGTCCTTTTGGGGTTTTTTTTTTTTCCATCCCTGTCTTGCGATTTTTCTGGCATGTTTCTGGAGGTTTCAAAGGAAATAAATGTTTCATAGAAATGGCTTGTGTGTTTACTTGATGGACAGTTGCTTGGAGTCAGTGACAAGAGGGTGTAGTCCACCAGTCAGCCCCCTATTCCTGTCCCCAAGTCCAAAACACTCAAACCTGGGACCAGCAGTTGGTGTAATGGCTATGTCATTGGACTCCCATGTAGTCGACCACGATTCGAGTCCCAGACCTGGTGGCTTAAAACTCATACCGGGCTCATGTGCATGTGTGCCCAAGATCCTAAGAGGAGAATGGAGGAGAAGGGATTGCAGTGTCGCCATCCCCCTGGGGGGTCATTTCTCGCTTTCTGTCTCTCTGTCTCTGTCTGACCATCCCCCTGGGGGGTCATTTCTCGCTTTCTGTCTCTCTGTCTCTGTCTGGCGAGCGCAGGCGCCCTATAGCAAAAACCTCTCCAAAAAAAAACACTCAAACCTGTGAGGCACACATACATGCACACACACAAAATACCTCCCAAGAATCTGGAGGCCCCAACCTTGCAAATTTCTCTTTCTTGGAAACCAAACTCAGACTGACTCTTGGGATGTAAAACATCTTTAAATTTAAAAAGCAGTGAAGACAGTGAGAGGGACCAGCAGGTGGTGTGGTGGTTAAGGAGGGCTGGGTTGGGTCCCAGTCCTTGGCCCAGAGACGTGATTGTCAAGCTGAGCGGCCCTACGTGCCCAAAATCCCGAGAGGAGAATAGAGAAGGGGTTGCGGTGTGGCCACCCCCCTGGGGGGTGATTTCTGGCTTTCTCTTCTCTAATGAGTCCGTGCCCTATGGCAAAAACCTAATAAAAGTGAGATTGTGCATCCGAAGTCATTGCTGGAGACCTACAAGACAGACCCCGTCCGCGGAGTTGTGTTGCTTTTAGAAACAACGACCACCTCTAAAATCTGAAGACTGTACCTAAAGAAGGCCGAGTTTCCAGCCTGGTAGGTCTGGGGGCTTTGCTGCAGACTCCCAAGTGCGGGGTGCCTGCCTCCTGGACGGCTCTCCCCAGGCCACGCCCCAGCGCGGGCTCATTTGCATATCGCCCTGGCCACTCCCCCTCCGGTTCTAGGCCGGGGGAAACAGCACGGAGTTGCTGGAAGATGCGACACAGCATGTGACCTCACGGGAGGGATCAAGGCCGCAGATCCGCATCTGCCCTGGAGAACGTTGCAGTTTGGCCAGGAACCAGGGTCAAACTGGTTTTTGAATCAAGAAATTCCATGTAAAAAAAAAAAAGTTTTCTTCTTGTGGGAAGTCTAGACGTGGATTTGAGGGCCGCTCAGTCTTAGGGGGTTGGCCTGTAGCCGTTGACCTGTCTTTTCCCATCTCTGAGTTAAAACCAGATGCCTCTGATTCAGACCTTCCCCCCCAAATACTCTTTTTTCCAAAAGGCGTGAGGGTTACATCCAGAGGAGGACCAGCCATCCCATGTCTGAAAGCTCGAGTTCTCCAGACCTGCCCCTCTCTGCACCCTCCAGAGGCCCAGTCCTCAACCCGTGCAGCCTTCCCACCTCCAACTCGGGCAGGCGGAGGGAAGCTCAGAACGAACTGTTCTCACAGCCTCTCCTGGCGCCTGTGAGACACCAGCGACTTCGACACCCCACAACTCACGCCAGCCCCCCTGTCGCGCCTGAACCCTGCCCTGCTGGTCCTTCATCTTGCCCCAGTTTTCAGCTTCCTGTCTGGGACCCTCCCCGTCTCTGCTCCCCGCAGTCCTGGGCGCTGTCCTCACCCAGTCTTTCCGAATCCCCCTCGTGCCCCAAGAGCCCTCTGCAGATTTCTGTTCCCCCAAATGCCGTGTCCCTCTCTCTCCTGTTTCCTGTCCTGGGCTGACTTCTCCCCAACAGACCTCCCGCCTTCCTCGCTTTCTAATTTATGTTTCCTGGTTCTGTCTCTCCTCATCGAGGATCTCTCCCGCTTCTCTCCAGCGCGTTTGCCATTTTTTATTACTGTTACTTCCTCTCTCCCACTAAATCTCCATCTCTCTTGTTCTCCTCTCTCCTGACTCTACCCCCGTAATTCCTGAGCCTCTCCTCATCCATCTCTCTCCCTTCTTCTCCCTCGCCTTCTCTGGTTCTCAATAAATCTCTGACTCTCACAGCCCTCCTCGGCCTGATCTCCGTGTCCTGGTTCTCCCACCCTCGCCACCCCCTCGCCCCAGTCTCGGCCTCTGTCCTGTCCTGACACCTCCTCTGCCCTCCCCAAGCTTCTCCCTCTTGCCCCTGGCCCACTGCTCTTTGCCCCACCGCCAGCACCAGGCGCCCCAGTGAGATCCAGGCCAGGGATGGTGCCTCCAGACACCCCACTCACCCCGCTCTCCCTGCTCCCCGGGGAGGGGCCGTCTTCCCAACCCATCCCTTCCCCCAGTCTTTGGCTCCCTCCTCCCTCTTCGCAGCCTCCCGCTGCAGCTGCAGCAGTCCGTTGCCAGGGCAACCACAGCTGGCTGGGCGGGAGCCCCCTCCACCCCATCCCCCTTCTCCTTTCCGGCAAGGCTGGGAGGAGCTGGGACAAAGCCAGGGAGAGGCAGGGTGCAAGGGGAGAAGGAGGTAGATGGAGGTAGGGCCGACTGGGTTGCTTCTCCCCTTCTCGGTGACGCCCCAAACCAAGCTGGAGAGCGAGGCAGTTGTGGGCAGAGGGGTCAGGCCCAGTTTAATACACAGAACAAGTTAATTCACAGCAGAGGCAGGCAATAAAGGAGACTCCTTCACAGGGGGGGGGCGCTTCTGGATTGGGGGCGATCCCCTACAGCCGCCACCTCCCCCACTTGCAGTCCCCCCCACAGCCGCCACCTCCCCCACTTGCAGTCTCAATTTCCCTTTTTTTAAAACCCAAACAACAAACACACACAACCACAAGAAATAACCACACCCCCTGGCTGCCCC